CTACAGACGTACAGATTGGAGGTAAGAGACAGGAAGAGACTCCCTCCTGGTAGCTGGCTTCAGCCCATAACACAGCCTTTGTTTTGTCCTCACAGCTTCGAGGGTGACCTTTAGTGTAAGCACGTTAAATATGACCCAGGCACTCAGCTCTGCCTGACACTGTGTGTGTAGTCGCTGAGTGAAAGATCTGTGAAACTATAGCTGTGAAAGCTTTCAGTTCTAGGAGAGTTGTCCATACTGATACATGGTCAGCTGGTTTGAATATAAATCAGTGAACATGTTTGTGACAGCAGCACAAAGTGCACATTAACTCCTGAAATGCTGCAGTGTAAGCTACACCAGCGCTTTGTTAGAAACGGAGCCACTTACCTTCTTCTTCTGGGACGTGAGTGTCAACACTGTCCCAGTGCCTTCACTTAAATCTGCTCCAAAAGTCTTGATTTGATGTTTGAAATGTTGCAACAACTTCTCTGTTTGTGCAGTAGCTGCGTAGTGCGTAGCCATGCGACACCTATCCTGATGATGTGCCCATATCTCTGCCAACCTGAGGTAACAGGAAGCAGGGAAAGCAATGGAGGTGCTCGTGTCTGAAGCCACCGGGACAGAGCATTGTATTCACTTCACCTCAACAGGTTTGGTAAGACTGAAGAAACCTACACCCCTGATCCTCCCCCTGTCCCGCCCTCAAGCTGTAGGTGAGGGCGGGACACACCTGCAGGGAATGACACACAGACACGGAGCGTCCACTCCTCCATATTTCTGAATCCTGTTCCCCATAAGAATGTGCACCTCATTTCTAGATAACGAGCACACTTTATCTGGATTGACCAGTGTCAGGAGCACATCTGTTTTGTTGTGTGAAACGTGCGCTCAGAGGGATGTTGTCGTAAAGGAGGGGGTCCAGCTGACTCCCCCCAGTCTCACCTGGTTACAGACCAGCTGCCACCCTAGTTACTGGTAATTCCCAGCAACAGCAGATTGACAGGGGCAGTTGTGTCAGATGGAGAGCACTTTCTGACTGTTGGCTTTTACAAGCCCGTACATGACACCTCGACTCATGCCTGTGCAAGCACAGAGTTGTGTGTGTGTTGGGTGTGTCCAGCTGAATGTGAAGTCACCAAAGCCCAGAGGGTTAAAACGTAATCTCTTCACTTACTCTGGTTTTTGTTGCAGTATCTTCTGTGCAAACACATAAACATCTATCTACTGAATAATCCACATTTAACTAGTTTCAAACACCTTGTAAAAAAAAGCTGAATGTGTAAACATCACTTCTACAGTAGGAAGTTTCTGTGTCCCACCCAGTCAGCGCCTTACTGAAGGTGAGATTTGAGCTTTCCACCTGACGTATGACGTCTGTAGCTCGGGACTGACGGACGAGTTGGACATCCTGTCTTTATAACCAGATCAGATCGTATCTTCATACTCTCTGTTTGGTCTCTGCTGCCACAGAGGGAAGCAAACCTAAAGCCAAGCCTCATGGTGGAGCTGATAAAACTCCCTCCAGACTCATGACTGTGCAGCGCTTCTGCAATCAGGAGTATTACATTTCAACAACTGTAGATATCATTTACAGGTATTATCCTGTACTCTCAGTTACACCGTTGCCTTTTCAGACAACGCTGTCAGGCCGGAGAGAATAACTAGAGCCATTAGTAATGAACAGAACTTGGAAGGCTGCCTGCTTTTAGTAGCAATCATCTTCTAAATCCTGTATCACAGCAGAAATATGTCCCCGTTTTCACAGTGTAAACACTTATAGAAATACAGTAACTCAGAACTGTCATCAGTTAAAAATACATTTATGCCTGAATTATTGTCATTTGCTGTTGCACTTCTTCTTTTCTCAGTTTTGTTTCTCTGTCAACCTGCACGTTCTTGTTAAGTGCACACTAGTAGCTCACTGCAGCTGTGTGGTTGTCAGACCGCCAGGCTCGTAATGTCTCAGCAACTACCACAATCCCCCCAGAGCCTGAGTCCTGCCTTGACGCAAGTCCAAGTTTCATTCATTCTTTTATGACCAGTTACCTGGAAAAATAATGATATGATGTGCTCTGTGCTAATTAGCAGAGGTTAGCATGCTAAAATGGTGGCCATGGAAACCAGCTGATGTTAGCATTTAGCTCAAAGCACCGCTGTGTCTAAGCAGAGCCTCACAGAGACATTAACACACTGCATATTTTGGTATAATCATCATATATATATGGAATATCATTTATATTCAACAGAGGAGCAGAACACAGGTGTGTTTAAATACAAAGAGACTGATTTAATGCCCAGTTTCATGTGTGAGAACCAGTCCATGAGCAGCTCGTTCTTTTTCCTTGTGAGATGAGAAAGTGAATATTTTCTTGTTACACAACATTTTGCAAAAACAAACTGATTTGTTTTCCATTTCTAGCAAAGAGTCTTGTGGGAGTGTGCTGATTTCAGGAAGCCTGAGAACTAGCAGTTATTATAATTAGTCATCCAAAGCACTGCAGTCATGCTCGTTGTTTGATTCTCTTTGTTTGGCATGTCTTAACTTCCAGGACAACAAGAGTACTAAAAGTAAACGCATTTTACAGCAGCTATCAGGACATAGTGCTTGCACCACAAAACATACAGTTTATGTCTTTATTGTCTCTACAGAGGGCCGTGGGCTGAGATCACAGCGAGGGGAGAGAGAGAGGCAGAGAGTGGCTCCATGATCCTGTGAAAGGGGTTACAGCACATCTCACACTGCCCTTACATCCCACGGTGCTCACAGTAACTTTGTGCACAAGGAGCAGAAAATCCAGGGCCAAGTAAAAGAGAAAGAAAGTACAAAAGGAAGACGAGGTAAAAAGGTTCAACACTGAGAACAGAATATGTACGGTTTGATAGTATTAACTAGTGTTTTGCTTGCGTCCGTTGCCTTGGGTGAGGAGAGGTAGAAGGAGGGAGGGATGTCCAGATGAGGAGGGAGGGGAGGCCGAGAGGAGACTACTGCAGATGGACGAAGGGAATGGGAATAAGATTTGCAGAGTTCTTGTTCTCGTCTTCTCATTTCAAGTATAAATAAATACTGTAAACAGTATCATTTAATAATAATAATAATAATAATATAAGAGTAAGAACATTATTATGCTTTCCAGCCACTTAGTGGAGCAAAGCATGAGGTAGATCGACGAGAGGGCATTAGGGGGTTTGCTGGTGGCCTTATCCCGGTGTGCCAAGCTGAAACGGAGAGAAGGCAGGGCAGAGGAGATTGGACAGAGGAGAGGTTCAGGCAGGAGAGGAAGGCCGGAGGCAGCAGCTTTAAATGATGCCGTATTTGGCCAAGTCGCTGAGCTCCATGTCGCCAAAGGCTTCCCATGGGCACACCACTGTGATGTCGGTGCCAAGACCCTCCATGCCAGGGATGTCGTCACCAAGGCTGGAGGGAGAAAACAAAGACATCAGCTCTCACACCTGGACCTTCAGCACTGACGTGACTGGAAACGTTATGGAAAAGGGTTCTTACCCTTTCTGGCCGGGCTTGGGGGCCTTGCTCTTGAATGTGCGGGTCTGCCTCTGCTTGAACTTGGGTGGGCCCTTCTTAGGTGTGGTGGGGCCAATTGTTCCCAGTGGGGCCAGGACACTTCCTGCGGGGGGGCTGGCGTTCATTTCTGCGGAGGGTCTCTGAAAAAAGTTTGGGACGTGTGTCACTGTGTGTGTCAGACATGTCAGCTGCCCCGCCACCACTGTTAATCCTGGTTCCTGTCAGATCTCAGTGCCAATCAGTGGAGATTAGTCAGATTAGGGTAAACAGCCAGATTAGCGCTAATCCTGCTCCAATGCACAGTAAACTAATGCCCTTCTTGAGCAACAGGAAGAAAGCCTCAGACTTTTCCAACAACTTAGGCTCCTATTCAACTGCAGACATTTGCTAGTTTAGAGATGAACCTTTAAGATACCGTTAAAGGATCAACCACTGCACATCCTCACTTATCATCCTGTTGCACCTTCATTTCATTGCATTTTGTTTGACACAGGACTCTTGCTTAAATTCATCATCCAGTAACTAAAGTCACAGTGTTTTCAGTGCAGGGTCCTGCCGGTTTCCATCGCTCTCGTCCTGACCTCAAGCCTGATCTTAGACAGCGCCCCACCCGCCTCTGACTGCTGACACTGGTAATCCTGTTAAGGCGATTTGACCGAGGTGGGAAACACCCCGGTCTGGCGCGTTAGGTAAGTCAAAGATATGCGCCACCTGAACCAGCTGATCCTGATTTCCCACCGATGAGGTCAGAGATGCTGCCCTGAGCGAGCTGCCCATCAGCTCTCTGTGAAGCTGCGGCAGAGCCGTGCTGCGTACACGCTGCCCAGACACGTTATCAGCCATCTGTTGCTCTGATTGTTGCCCCCAGAGTCAGTCCTCTTCGCTGTGGTCACTGGAAAATACACACACTTGTTCTTCCCTTTCAGTTCCTGCTCATGTCTTGCAGGGTTGCATTTCTTCTTTTTCCTCAATTTATAATCTGTGTGATCAATTTAAATTGTAACATGGAGCCACTTTGCAATCTGAGTAAGTAGAGCATCATCTTCAATCAAACCTCACAGCTTTACTTTCCCAGGTCAAGCCTGTGTCACTCATGCTGCTCCTTGTATCGGGGTGTGGTTTTAGTGAGCAACACACAAACCCATCCTCAGATTCATCCTGTTCTCTCTCGCCTCTCCACCAGTTCGGTGCTGCCATCACTCACTTTTTCTACAACCGTTCACTGGGTCACTACCATGGGGACCATTTAAACTCTGTGCTACCAGCAGTTGTTCCAGCAGAGCTACGCCAACGAGTCATAGAGTTTGCTCTCACCTGTTGTCACAGATGTCCCAGGTGGCCACGGCCGATCTCTGTTCAGCCGCTTCTTTCTTCTGTGTCTTTCTTCTTCTTGGCTTTGTGACGTCTGCTGCCTGTGCTCTGCTTTTATATCTCCAGGTCTAATCCCCTCCTTCCAGTCACAAGGTCAGCCAGACTCTTCTCCACCAAGCCAGCATCTCTGGCTCCCCTGCCTCCCCTGCTTCCCCCCTGACTCGCAGTGCGCTCGCTGCCCCTCCCACCACTGCTCTGTCCACCTGGTGGTGCAGCCTACCATGTAGATCGTGTCGAAGATCAATCTGGAAGGACTTTATCAGGCTTATCTCTTTAATCCTCAGCACAGCTGAATTTAGCTTCGCCATGAGGAGGCGACTGGCTGCTCGTGCGTCAGGTCCATGTGAGGTTCATGTGGCGTGTTGTCCACTGGTGGAGCTGCAGTAAACCATGGTCAAACTAATCAGGTAGAAGAGGGATTGATTTAACACTAGGTCAGCAATCCCTTAGAATTGTAATATGAAAAAATGTAGTTTGGTATGAATGTGAATGAGATTAAAAGCTAAATAACCTCAGTAGCAGCTTCATCCTTCTGTAAGTGATGGTGCATGTTTGGATTGTGAGTCACTGAGCGGTTAATACCTAGAAAGTGTGTTTGAACTTAATCCGGTTTTGGCTCTGAGCTGAAGCCGTTAGATGTCAAATGTTGTTGTTACACCTAAACGTGCAAGTCAGCTCCCTCGTGTCCTGTTAATGTGGCATTAAGAAAGAAAGTTGTTTGTGCTTTTATGGTTGTGTTGCCTGTGCGGCATAGCAAATGAAGGCATTTTATACCTTGTATTCTTGGGTTCACGTCCAGCTTTAAGTAAACCTCATTTTCCAAGTATCTCTCCTAACTGGAGTAAATCACCTGCCTATTGTGGTCTGAGCTTCGTGGCGTGTTTGGCAGCCTCAGTGCCAGAGCGCTGCCGCCAGTGTACAGTGATTAAACTTACAAAGGGAGTTTAACCTTCACAGTGTTTTGCTTGTGGTTTTGTCTTCAGACTGAACGAACTGGTTCAGGTGCCTTTGACTTCATGAGGGTTTAAGACAACGCTGACATGTGCCCCACCTGAACTGCACCCATCATCATTTTCATGATTCAAATGATATGTGAAGAAATACGTACAGTTCTTTAACTATACTGGTGTAAAATGCTAGCAGAAGGTTTTTGGCTCGGCATTTTCACCTCTGTGCGTGGAAAATGTTGATCTAAAGGGAGGATCCCAGATTAGCCTGTTTGGAAGCGGGACAAACCCTGACACAACCGCTGAGCGCTGATGGGAAATTGTGTAAGCAGACGTTTGTTTGTTTTTTTGTCTGCCTTCTTCAAATCATCCAACCATCCATTTTGAAACTTGAGACGCTCATGGACTTTAATACCAGTCTATGCAGACACAAGAGACACAAACATTAGCTGTTTGGTTTATTTGACTAGATTGTTGGTTCCTTGTTTCACTCTGTTGTTCTTTTTCATACTTTAACTTGTTTCCTATTGTTTGTTTATAATAGAAAACATTTTACACATTTCTTTTTTTAATGTGTTACAGGGAGATGAAGCTAAAGCAGCAGCATCACATCAAAATACACATATTGTGCATTAGACAGGAGAAGAACGGGGCAGTCTAAGGCCGTGCTAGCAGCTCTGCTAACATGCTGCTAACAGGCTGAATGGTTTTGTTAGCAATGCTGATGTTTGCCTATTAAATCCAGCTGATGGGAATATTATTAGTTTTGTATGTATCTGGTTATAAACCAGATTTGACTTGACTATGAAAATGGGTCACCAGTGTCACAGCAGTTCATCCTGAGGGGGGCATGTAGGTCTGTACCAAACGTCATGACACGTCATCCGTCGGTTCTTTCAGATGTTTCAGCTCAGACCACAAATGTAAGGCTGCTGGGGGAAGCAGTCAGCGGTTCACCCAGTCAGTGAGGTCGCAGCAGTCTGGACGCTGACATCCTCACAGCTGCTAGCACAGCTCAACGTTTGTAATGCCATTAGCTCCTCATTTAGCAGCTGTCTCAGTGGAATGCTTTCAAATGGGCCACGGTGGCTTCAGATAAGGTTCATACATCTTTAATGGGTGAAATTAACGATCAGTCGTTTAACGCCTTTCAGGTCTGGAGCTGTTCAAGCAAATATTCAACTGATTGAAACAGCTGAAAATGAAAATTACAGTTGTCTTGGATTTTAGTTTAAAAATGAATTTAAGGACATTTTTCCATATTGATTTTGGATTTCCAACACAACAACACATAGATTATGCAGAAGTGAGTTATTTTATATGGATGTGTTTGGAAGCGGTGTCGATCACATCCTGTGCATTGACATGTTGAAGGCGGTCTTTGGGAGCGGGGCGACGTGGGACCGTGGTAAAGCCTCTTTACAGTGTGCAGGCTGGAGATAGGAAGGAGCTGGCCCCTTTATCAGCACACACGATGAAAATGTTCAGACATCCATAAATGATGCATATGGCAAACTGTGTCTGCAGACTTGGACACTGACTCTGTGGTACTGCGCAATAGGAAGCTTCCAGAAATACTCCTAAGTACTCGCCTAAGATTGTTTATCTGGGGCCTCCTTAAACCACACAGGCAGAAAATTAGAAATCTGCTCCTCACTTAACGGTAACAACAGTGAACTGGGCTGAACTCTGCAGTGTTGACTAGTCTAGATTGCAAAATGCTGAATATGTTTCTAATTAGGGTAACGTAGGGACTCAGTATTGAGAAACAGAGCTGGGGCGGCAATATGATGCAAGACTTTACATCCGAGAGGCACAGTATGTCTGACTTCACAGGCAGCATTTTACAGCCTGTCAGATCCATGTAAACATCAACTAAGTCTGGCTTCAACAAAAGGCTCTGCTCTTTCAGGAACCTTATGAACTCCTCGGTGCTCAGAGGAGGTCTGAGCTCAGTGCTTTGAGAAGCACAGCACAGTGCATGTGATCTGTGGGGTATTTGGAGGTTTGAGTCCCATCCTGCAGAGAGTTCTGACCAGGAGTGACGGTTCTCTGCATATGAGCACACTTTTATATATTTATTTATTTGTTTTAGAATCAAAAGGGGTCTAAACAGACCTAAACCACAGTCTTTAGAGAACTGTGGATGCTGAACTCGCACTCTGTGGCTAAGACAAATTTTAATGTATAAATTCTGGTCCTTGCATTTAAAAAACAGTCTGGGCCATTGCCCCAAAATAGGAAAATGTATCGTACCCATACAAGAACAGCCAGTCTGAGGTGTCCTTTAAAAGACGGACTCAGGGAAACAGAGAAGAGGCACCAAACATACTCACTCAGCTTCCACTAAGCCCTTTAGTGTACTTTATTCTTGTCTGGCCTCAAGGCTGAAATATCTCTGTGTGGCAGTGCCTCCCATCCACTGTGTTGTAGTTCCAGTGGTGTACAGGGAATGGGCTCCTTATAAATCTGTTTTAACTAGAGAGAGGGCATGTGCTGCAAAGGCACTGCTTCTATCAGAGCTTTCAGAAGAAGCAAAGGCACAGAGGAGGGTTATTTAGCCTGGACATACAGTCCAGCAGAGAGTGGAATATGCTGCAGGAGTGATGCAAATTTGAAAAGATGTTCTGATACCTTTCATGGCATTGTTTAAAGGCCACAATCTGCCAACCCCTGGACATAGGGACACAGCTTAACCTCTCACTGTAAGGTGGCGCATGTGAAACCTATCAAAGCTTCAACCACTACTTGAGGTTTTTAGGTGAGCAGAGTTCCCTGCAGACCTCCTTCTTTCCTGTTATTAATTCAGAACAAGAGCTCAAATCCTCCCAAACCAATATCAGTCTGCAGTTATAGGCAGCTCCCTCCTTAAACCTGCAGATGCTACTCTACTGAGAAAGTTTTAGAAGCCAATATACTTTGGCTCTTTGAGGAAGTGTTGAGTTTGGTCTGAACTATCCCATAAAGGTTGTGACACTGGCCATGTGTGACCATGACTTTAGTGCCCAGTGTTTAGTTGACCTCAGACACCCAGTTTACAGTATGTAAGATGGAATCAGGAGATAACTGACTTGGTTTTCTTCTTGTATAATTTAGGATCACCTTTGTGTAGGCTTATAGCGCTGTCTCCAGCCATCGCTGCATCCAGCGATGCAGACCAGCCCCTATAGCGCTGTCTGGTCATAGACACGAGGTACCAACATGCAGGACAAAAAGACTTAAAGCCTTTTTTGGTAGATTACAGGTATACATTCTTTTGTGTCGTTTTAGTGGTCAAACCACGCCAAAGTGCCACTTCCTGTTCACCTAACAGAGTCTTCACCTTTGAAAACATTCAGGCTGTTCTGGTCAGATAAGGCCGATCCCTGATGAGAGGCTTCTGTGGCCTGCCTCTGGTCGTCTGTCTTGATGTTTGCTTCAAGTATCGTCTCTCGCAAAGTTGCTTTTGTGAAGTTTTTAAATGATTTCTTTGGTATGTTAATGTAAGACTGCATTGCCAGGGGTGTCATCTATTTGATCTGCCAGATCAGTGACGCTACGTTTACTTGCTGTGGCCTTGATGCTGCTATCTCCTGCTGATTATGTTTAAAGTTGTGTGCTTGCTTTCCTCATCTGTCGTCTGCCACCTCTTTTATATCTCTCTATATAAACTCCACTGATTAAGAAGCACTTTGTCTTTGCAGGTGTCAGATAAAATATTGTTCATGAAGAGATCACCGTTTTCATTGCTGCATTAGAATTTAAAACTTTAAAACTTCACTGCTTTGCATTTTGCATAACTCACAGTTTAGTTTCCTCTCTCGTCTGGCTGGAATTCCTTTGCATGACTTACAAAACATCACTTCAAATGCAACTACTGTTTTTTCTCATTCACCCAAACACATTACATGTTTCCCTCTTCTATTGCCAGTGCAAAGTGCAAAATCCTTTCAGTTTGAGCAGCTAGCAGATGCTTTTGTCTATAGATTTGCCTGTAGTTCTCTTTGATTAACAGGACTTTTTTCATGTATATTTCCAAAGAATATTGTAGTGCCGGTGTTGACGTGTTAGCATATTGCCTGAGGGAGCAGTGTGTGTTTCACCTCCTGAAACAGTGAATTTTTTTCTTTTCACTTTCCCAGTTA